TCTGTACTATTGTCTCGCTTGCAAGGATTTCTCTCAGTTCGTGTTACCAATGTTTCTTCTCATGTCGTTCCATCCTTGCCCCATGGAAGATCTCCCTTCCTAAGTTTTGTAAAACCCCTTCACCCTCGTGACAAACTTGTACCCCTCCTACAGTTCTGAACCTCCTTTTCCTTGCTCACTTTTCTTCACACTCCCACTCCATTTCCGTCTTCACAGATGGGTCTAAGTCTGCCGACAATGTAGGCTAATGTTATGAACCACCATGTAGCCTCACGATGCAGGTCTTCCCCCCGCACTGAGAGTTATTCCCCACCTGATCATAGTGAGAGTCAGGAATATTTACCAGTGCAATCACTTGGATAAGGCACGGATGAGCATCTTTGATCAAACTTGGAAGTGAGAGGACGACTGTATGCGACGTGAAGTGTACAATAATTGAGGTCATCATGGGAGCATGTCGTGTGCAAAGGTCATAGGACGTCACTTGTGAGAAAGTTAAGAGAAGGACGCACGTCGCCGCTCCAGAAGAAGGAAGATATTTGTGATTTGGAAAAAAGAATTGATGAGGAGCTTCATGGGTGAAGCGTGAGGAAGCTGTGGGAGGACGATTAGTGACGAATCTCTTAAATAGTGGCAACGAGTAGGGGCGACTGGAAGCCAGTTGGATGGTCGTGCCATGAGGAACCACGGTGGTGAATCCTACAAGAGGATTTGATGGACAGGTGTTCCTGATTGGCAGCTGTGCTGTGACTTCTCTCACGCAAGTCAAGATTGAGAGGAACCGAGTAGTGGCAATCAAAAAGAGCTGTGTGGGCGACTTGGCAGAGCGCTATATTTGGACGTCATGCAACGGGCGTCACTATCACTTTATTTTTTCCGTAAGAGCTTTGTATACGGCCACATGCTGCTTTTTGCGGTGAGATCGTGTGCTCGGCGATCTTGTATTGTTTATGAATGTAGCTTAGAAAGTTAGTGGAGTTAAGCAGACGACGAGTCACAATAACGTGACTGAAGATATGAAGGCTAAACTACACACCAGAAGATAAGGAGACGACGACGTTTCGGTCCGTCCTGGACCATTATCAAGTCGATTGTGATGGGAGCGAGATTGTTGTTATTTTAGATTCAGCTAATCGGAACAAAAAGCTCCAAGTAGCACGGGCTATGATGAGCCCGTAGTGGACTTACTTGGCACTGGCGCGGGGCTGTAACTGAGAGCAAGGTAGGCATGAGCATTAAGTAAGCCAAGAGAGAGATAACGAGGAGGAAATTCCTAGAGGAAGGTAAGAGCAAGGTAAAAGATACGGATGGTTATAGGTGTAATAAAGGGGTGTAAGAAAAGGGGCAATAATGGCTATAAGAATGGGAACGTAAGAATAAGAGGAGAAAGAAACAGAAAGATAAAAGGATGGGTAGACTTATGTTAGGTTGCGTTTGTTAGAAAGATTAGAGCATTTGAGTCTGTACTGTGAAAGGGAAGAGTCAACAGCAACAAAGCCAGGACCAAGGTTCATGTTGGATAGGTTGTGCATCAGAGCCGAGTCAACAAGGCGGCGTCTATGTAGAGTAGAGGCAGGGAAGATTATTTCAGAAGAAAACCAATCAATTGGATGTTTAGAATCCCTAACATGACAGAAAAGAGCATTGTTTTTGTCTGCAGACTTAACACTTCTTTTGTGTTTTCTTAAGTCTGTCATTTAATTAATGTACGGCCAGTTTCACCAAAGAATTGGAGAGGACAATAAGAACAGGAAATAGAGTAGACACCAGCAGCATTAGAAGCAGGAGCAGTGTGAACCAGATTATTACGAAGTGTGTTAGTTTGGCGAAAGGTGAGCTTTATGTCAAGAGGACGAAAGGTATTAGTAAAAGTTTTAAGTTCAGAGATGAAGGGAAGGCAGAGCACAGTGCTAATAGTGTTGGAAGCAGTTTTAAGATGAAAGAAATTTCGTTAAGCTTTAGCTCACTAAGCATCTTTTGAATATCCCGCACATTTGACGATGTTACATAGTCTTCCCGACTTGGTGCCTTCTTTTGATAATTACTTTGTTGGGAAATACTTGGTAGAGTAAAAAGCCTTTTAAAATCTTATTTGTTGAGCTGGTATATATACTTGAGAAGTTATAGATTATAGTTTACTGACCACTATCTAGTGTTGGCATTTAGTTTGCTATCTCTGTATGACCAAGTGTCAGCATCTGTGCTAGTAAGTCTTGTGTCGGCCGGTGAGAGACCTGGGCGGTGCTGCCCTGTTGCAGTGAAATTCAACTGAAGTGCTACCATATTCAACGTTTATTTCATTATTTGGCCGAAAGCAAACGTACATTTATTTCAGTAAACATTTATACATTCTTAATACTGTGTTTAAAGTTATTCCCATCGTCACTCATCAAGGTGTTTGCCTGAGGCTGAGTATGAATATGTGGGTGATCAAGGCACTTTAGACAGAGACGCTCTTCTACTGGTTGACAGAAATGAGTTATTCTGTTCCAATTTCTTGTCGAGTCAGGTTAATGTTAAGCTTTATTGTGACGAGTGCTTGTAAGGGCCAGTAGGTCGGGTGACAAGTGCTTGTAAGGGCCAGTAGGTCATGTGACGAGTGCTTGTAAGGGCCAGTTTGCTGCAAAGACCTCCGTTGTTGCCGTCCTTTTTGACCTGGAAAAGGCTTACGACACCACTTGGCGATATCATATTCTGTCCCAGCTTCATTCTTTTAGCCTTCATGGTCATCTCCCTCTCTTTCTTTGCAGCTTCCTCTCTTGTTGTTCCTTTAGGGTGCGCCTTGGTACCGCTCTCTCTCCCTCTTTTCAGCAATACGAAGGTGTGCCCCAGGGTAGTGTTCTGAGGACTGCTCTTTTTCTGGTTGCCCTCAATGGTCTTCTTTCCTCTCTTCCTTCTCTCTTCCTTCAGGCGTCTTCTCCGCTCTTTATGTCGACGATCTTACCCTTTGCTGTCAGGGTGATGATTCGCCTCTCCTTCAACTTGCGATTGATCCCGTGTCGTCTTGGGCCACCGATCATGGCTTCAGGTTCTCTAAGTCTAAGACTTGTGCTATGTCTTTTACTCGGAAACGAGTCGTTCTTCGTCCTTCTTTGTCGCTTTATGGTCACCCCCTTGTGTACAAGGTTTCTGCTAAGCTTTTGGGGGTTGGTTTTTGACACTCGTTTGTCTTGGTCTCCCCATATCTCTTACCTCCGTGTTGAGTGCTCTAAGGCCCTTACCCTCCTTCGGGTATTGTCCCATACTTCTTGGGGAGCGGATAGTCGCACTCTCCTTGCTTTACATTCCTCTCTCGTCCTGTCTAAGCTCGATTATGGTTGCCCTGCTTACTCGTCTGCTTCTCCTTCTATACTTCACCGTCCTTGATACTTTGCACCATACTGGGTTGCGCCTCAGTTCTGGTGCCTTTCGTTCGACTCCCGCCCTCAGCTTGTATGTTGACACTGGCTTCCTGTCTCTCCAGGACCGCCATGATCGCTACTGTCTTTGCTATCTTGCGCGGTCCTTGCAACATCCTTCCTCTCGCCTCTGTCGTGCTTTAACTTTTACCCCTCCTGTGGTTCCTGTTCCTCTTCACCATCTCCCTCTTTCTGTCCGGTTATCTCGCTTAAAGGATTCTCTTTCAGTTCGTAGTTCTAATATTTCTACTCATGTTGTTCCTTCTTTGCCCCCGTGGAGAGTCCCTCTTCAGCAGTTTTGTACATCCTTAACCTGTATCACTAAAGCTTTTACCCCTCCTTCGGTTCTAAAACGCCTTTTTCTTGTGTATTTTTCTTCTTACTCCTGCTCCGTTTCCGTCTTCGCCGATGGGTCTAAATCTGCGGACGGTGTAGGCTACTCTGTTGTTTTTCCTGATTGCACTTATATGTGTCGCTTACTTCCGGAGACTAGCATCTTCACAGCAGAACTTTATGCTATTCTCTATGCTCTTTGTCTCCTGCTTTCTCGTTGTCAATCTTCCTTTGTCATTGTTGTTGACTCCCGTAGTGCCCTCATGGCTCTCGGGTCCTTTAATTTGGTTCATCCAGTGGATGTTGAGATCCAGCATTGGCTGTTTCTTGTTCACAGTAAATTTAAGTCAGTTGAGTTTTGTTGGGTTCCCAGCCATATTGGTGTCTCTTTAAATGAGCGTGCGGATGCTGCCGCCAGGGAAGCTGTTCGCTCTTGTCCCATCTCTCGTAAAGGTATTCCTTTTTCCAACTTTTACCCGGTTATTCATTCCTCCATCCTTACCTGTTGGCAGGCTTGTTGGTCGTCTGTTACTGGTAACAAACTGTGTTCTGTTAAGAGTTGTGTGTCCTCGTGGCCGTCCTCCTACCACTGTAACCGGCGGTGGGAAACGGCTCTGGTGAGGTTGCATATTGGCCATACTCGCTTAACTCATGGTCACTTGATGAAGCGCCGCCCTGCTCCTTATTGTCCTAATTGCATTGTCCCTCTTATGGTCGTGCATATCCTTGTTGAATGTCCTGCCTTCCGGGACAAGCATGTGTCTTGTTTTCCAACTGTCTCCCGCGGTCGCTTGTCCCTCGATAGTATTCTTGGTGACTCGGATACTTTTTATATCGTTCGCCTTATGCGTTTCTGTTCTCGTATTGGCATCCTTGGTGATATTTAGCGCCCTCTGATTATCCCGCACATTTGATGGTGCTACATAGTCTTCCCGGTTTGGTGCCTTCTTTTGGTAATCACTTACTTACTTGTAAGGGCCAGTAGGTCTTGATGAGTATTTGTAAGGGCCAGTAGGTCTTGATGAGTGCTCGTAAGGGCCAGTAGGTCATGTGACGAGTTCTCGTAAGGGCCAGTAGGTCATGTGACGAGTGCTCGTAAGGGCCAGTAGGTCATGTGACGAGTGCTCGTAAGGGCCAGTAGGTCATGTGACGAGTGCTCGTAAGGGCCAGTAGGTCATGTGACGAGTGCTCGTAAGGGCCAGTAGGTCTGCTGTAACATTTAAATCCTCGCATGTTTGAATGTGATCAACATGGTTATTGGTGTTGCAGGTGTTGAGTGACAGACTGGGGAGCGAGGAGCGGCTGGTGGCGAGGCAGGCGCTGGCCGGGCTACTCTGGACCAAACAGTTCTATCACTACATCGTCAAGGACTGGCTCGGTGGTGACCAGTAAGTTAACAGCTCATCCATAAACAACACATCTTAAAATATTAAATTTCTAGTATATATTTGTAATATCTCTCAAATGATAAACCTGAATAGTACACAGGCAGCATATGAAATATATGAACTACACCCAGAAATTACAATAGCGGGATGTATCATAGGAACAAATTCACAAGGGCCGTGTTGAGGGTTCGAAGCTACGTCCGAGAGGATCCCAGACGCTGCCTTAATCCCAGAAAGATGGGATTTGGGATCCTCTCCCAAATGGGATCCAATGGGTATGGGATCGTCTCAGGCGTAGGTTCGAACCCTCATCACGGCCCTTGTGAATTTATTCATAAATACTTGAAATTTCCACATGCCTTTGCTGGGATAAGTCTCTCCTCACGTGATGAAAAGCTGAGTGTTGTACCACCACACCACAACGCTGGGTGTTGTACCACCACACCACAAAGCTGAGTGTTGTACCACCACACCACAAAGCTGAGTGTTGTACCACCACACCACAACGCTGGGTGTTGTACCACCACACCACAACGCTGGGTGTTGTACCACCACTCCACAAAGCTGAGTGTTGTACCACCACACCACAACGCTGGGTGTTGTACCACCACACCACAACGCTGGGTGTTGTACCACCACTCCACAACGCTGGGTGTTGTACCACCACACCACAAAGCTGAGTGTTGTACCACCACACCACAAAGCTGAGTGTTGTACCACCACTCCACACCACAGCTGAGTGTTGTACCACCACACCACACCACCACACCACAAAGCTGAGTGTTGTACCACCACACCACAAAGCTGAGTGTTGTACCACCACACCACAAAGCTGAGTGTTGTACCACCACACCACAGAGATGAGTGTTGTACCACCACACCACAAAGCTGAGTGTTGTACCACCACACCACAAAGCTGAGTGTTGTACCACCACACCACAAAGCTGAGTGTTGTACCACCACACCACAACGCTGGGTGTTGTACCACCACTCCACAACGCTGGGTGTTGTACCACCACACCAGAGATGAGTGCTGTACCACCACACCACAGAGATGAGTGCTGTACCACCACACCACAGAGATGAGTGTTGTACCACCACACCACAGAGATGAGTGTTGTACCACCACACCACAGAGATGAGTGTTGTACCACCACACCACAGAGACGAGTGTTGTACCACCACACCACAGAGACGAGTGTTGTACCACCACACCACAGAGACGAGTGTTGTACCACCACACCACAGAGACGAGTGTTGTACCACCACACCACAGAGACGAGTGTTGTACCACCACACCACAGAGACGAGTGTTGTACCACCACACCACAGAGACGAGTGTTGTACCACCACACCACAGAGACGAGTGTTGTACCACCACACCACAGAGACGAGTGTTGTACCACCACACCACAGAGACGAGTGTTGTACCACCACACCACAGAGACGAGTGTTGTACCACCACACCACAGAGACGAGTGTTGTACCACCACACCACAGAGACGAGTGTTGTACCACCACACCACAGAGACGAGTGTTGTACCACCACACCACAGAGACGAGTGTTGTACCACCACACCACAGAGACGAGTGTTGTACCACCACACCACAGAGACGAGTGTTGTACCACCACACCACAGAGACGACAGAGACGAGTGTTGTACCACCACACCACAGAGACGAGTGTTGTACCACCACACCACAGAGACGAGTGTTGTACCACCACACCACAGAGACGAGTGTTGTACCACCACACCACAGAGACGAGTGTTGTACCACCACACCACAGAGACGAGTGTTGTACCACCACACCACAGAGACGAGTGTTGTACCACCACACCACAGAGACGAGTGTTGTACCACCACACCACAGAGACGAGTGTTGTACCACCACACCACAGAGACGAGTGTTGTACCACCACACCACAGAGACGAGTGTTGTACCACCACACCACAGAGACGAGTGTTGTACCACCACACCACAGAGACGAGTGTTGTACCACCACACCACAGAGACGACCACCACACCACAGAGACGAGTGTTGTACCACCACACCACAGAGACGAGTGTTGTACCACCACACCACAGAGACGAGTGTTGTACCACCACACAGAGACACCGACCACCACACCACAGAGACGAGTGTTGTACCACCACACCACAGAGACGAGTGTTGTACCACCACACCACAGAGACGAGTGTTGTACCACCACACCACAGAGACGAGTGTTGTACCACCACACCACAGAGACGAGTGTTGTACCACCACACCACAGAGACGAGTGTTGTACCACCACACCACAGAGACGAGTGTTGTACCACCACACCACAGAGACGAGTGTTGTACCACCACACCACAGAGACGAGTGTTGTACCACCACACCACAGAGACGAGTGTTGTACCACCACACCACAGACGAGTGTTGTACCACCACACCACAGAGACGAGTGTTGTACCACCACACCACAGAGACGAGTGTTGTACCACCACACCACAAAGCTGAGTGATGGATCACGCTACCATCACATTGGTCAGGGTATACATAAGATAGTTGTGTTGGAGGTGACTATGTATACTGAGTCACCACAGGTCAGGGTATACATAAGATAGTTGTGTTGGAGGTGACTATGTATACTGAGTCACCACAGGTCAGGGTATACATAATGATACTGTCCACAGGTACCAGCCGCCCCCGCCGCAATCTAGACACGGCGGCAGGAACAGTGAGTGGACTCACCTCTACAACAGGGACGTCATCTCCATGCCTGACAAGTGGGAGTACCCCTGGGTGAGTAACAGTGCCCTCTGGGTGAGTAACAGTGCCCCTGGGTGAATAACAGCGCCCCTGGGAGAGTAACAGTGCCCCTG